TGAAGAATGATTTCAGTTTCCAACAGTGAAAAGGGTCCAAACCGAGTGTGTCGGGTCGGGTCGGTTTTGGGTCAATCTCGGCCCGAACCGACCCAATGCTCACCCCTAGCAACAAATATCATTGTAAAAGACCGCGTTTCCAATCAAATGCAGTTGCAAAAAATGGTAGGATTCACATTTCACATGACAATTAATTGGTGTTATGTGTAGTTTTACTAAATTTTATTACAATTATTGAAGAACAAAATGCATATAAATAACATTATTCTTTGTTAATTTTACTATTGAGAGTCAACATATATTTTTAATATTTTATACTTTGTCACAATGACTTGTCTTTATGCTAAAGCGATGAAATTCTTTTCAATACATTTTTTTTTCTAATAGTTTGCTCGTAATAATTGTGAACTCTAAGAGAATGAATAACTGAACGTAAAATCTTAAAATGTGAAAATTCTTAGTCAAAAATATAAAAGTTACAAAACTTGGTTCTCCCTCTTTAAATTTTGCTAATATGTTGGTCTATGATATAACTAATTGATGAGCTGCAGTAAAAATTAAATATCATGATGATTATCCATATTGTTTGAAGTATAAAGTATGATATTTCACTCAGATATAAGAAAATGATGGTGGCTTAAAAAGCGTCATGATAATTACAATTTAAAGTNNCGTCATGATAATTACAATTTAAAGTTATCAATTTTAAATAGCCATGTTATACACTTATATTACATCAAATTTTGATAAATTGTCATGAATACTAAATGTCAAGATTATTTAAGTGGAAATTACATAAACTAAGTATTTTCAAGATCTTAATTTATAATTAAAAATTACTAAGTTTTTCTTTCAAATATCAGATATAGTTAAAATTTTAAATAATAATAATAATATAAAATCAAACTAATCCACCCCACCCCACCCCACCCCACCCGCCACCGCACCCACACCGACCCACCTGCCTACATAACCCCAATTCAATTACTTTCCATACCTTAAAACCCACCCTCTTCTTCCTCTCTCAATATTCTCTCTACCAACCACTTCAAGTGTTACCTCCCCTTAAGGTGATGGCTATTCTCCTTGCATCATCACCGCGACCACTCACCCTCGCAACACCGTCGTATTATGTCTAACAACATCACACCAATCCCCACCACCAAGCCCCGCACCACCACCGCCCATTGTGCCACCGCCACTCAACCTCGCTCCACTGTCGCATTGTGCCACCACTGCTCAACCTTGCACGCACCACTATCGTGTTGTGCCATTCCACATCACACCAACCCTCATCGACGGTTCTCTTCTTTCACTTTCTTCTACCCATTTTTTCTTTCTCATCGACGGTGCAATAGCAAATCCATCATGCTGAACAGTCGTTGTTCGCCGCTGAACGGCGTTTGAGTTCGCCACGCACAGCGACGATCTGGTGGCCGCTAAGCGGGGCAATGGATTTGTGGTTGTTTTTGTAATGATTTTGTGTGGTGGTGGTGGTGGTGTTAGTCACATGTAGTGCACAAGGCAATCGAGATTGGTGTCGGGGTGTTTGATGATGCTGCGATCTGGTAGCGATGATGGTGCTGGAGTTTAGTGTGGGGTGGTTATTATGGTGGTGGGTTTGCGTTGATGTGGTGTGTAGTGGAGGTTTTGCACGGTCTGGTGAGGCAATGGTGGTCGTCGTGGCGGTTGTGGGTGGGTTGTAGGGTAGATGGGACAGGGTGTTTGCAACCAATTATTTGGTTGATTTTGATCAATAATTAATAAATTGTGATAAATAAATAATATGATACTTAAAAATGTGATTGTGACTCACAGTTTAGTAAGTTGTGATCAAGAATTAATTATGACCAATTAATTTGATAATTTGTGATCGATGAATCAGTTGTGACCAATAAAATTTTCAATTTTGTGATTAATGAATAATC